TAAGAACGAACAACAACAACAAAAGCTCAGAAGTCACATTACGAGAATTCTATCAGACCTTTCCCCCAACTTATTCTCTTTGTTCCAGATTCTATATTCAGAGGCTTAGCCAGTCTACTGAATTATTCCGAGGACAGTCACCGAGGCTTATTTTGTGAAGTTATAGAATCACTGGGAAGACGGGTCTCAATTTACCAAGTACAGACAAATACATATTAGGAGCACTTAAATGTCATCTCAGGAATTGATTCAGAAATGCAGCCACAGAGGAGCCAACAGGCTCCGTGCGTGGGTTTCTGAAGAAGCAATTGTACGTATACAACCTCTGGACAATTGGGTTAAGAGAGAAGAGACGGGGCAGACTCCAGACCGGAAGTAGGGTGATAGAGCTCCGAGACTGCTGTGCTTGAACATCCATGTTCTGCCCCATCCTTCAAGGGCAACCAGAAAGACATCATTTTGTCTTCCAGAATTATTTCCCCTGCCAGAAAGACAAATGCAGTGGCCTTTCCACAGCTGAAATGGAAGCACAGCTTTGTTGCTTATTTATTTACATAAGATGGATGGGATACTTATTAGTCGATGTATTATGTATAACCCGACAGCAGGTTGGTACAGTATTGTGGGGTCAAGAATGGGTTTTCTTTCATTATCCACGTTTCTATGTAGGGTTAAGAATTCAAGCCCACAATGACAAAAGTAAGGACAGAACATGTGGAGGGAGAAAATATTTTTCGCCGTTTGATTCCATTGCCTAACGTATCTGGTTTTGTATACGCTGTGGCTGGCTGCGGCTCGTACCCCTAAAGGTCTTCATGAGGGTGAAAAATTCTGCTGTCCTTCCGTGTTACAGGCAGCATTGGTGTATGTGTACATGTGAGTGAGAAGACAGAATTCACATTATATCGGAGTACAGTCCTTTCTGCACACTTTGGGTGGAATTTTTACTCTTTTCCTTTTCCTAATAGAGCACATACACATACACACTCAGAAATAACCCACACACTCAGAAATAACATGAACAGATACACACACATATACACACACACACAGAAACCGCCCCCCAGATACATATTCAGAAATAATAAGGATAGACAGATACACACACACACTCAGAAATAATATGGACAAACACACACACACACTCACGGTCGGCAAGTGCACACAATGGTGACCGTGTAATGAAATCTCCACAAAGCCCCTCCACTGTAGGGGTGGGTCCAGCTTCCGGTCGGTGCCACATCCCTGTGCTGGACGGAAGGCAGGGACCGGAGAGGACACGGAACTGTGCAGCCCTCACCGGACACCGGGCCCCTGCTGGCCATTCCTGAGTTGTGTCCTTTATAATAAACGGGTGACGGTAAGCCACCTGCTTTCCGGAGTCCAGTGAGTCATTCTGACAAACTACTGAACGTGAGGGGCTGTGGAAGCCTCTGTATTGACAGCCCGTCCACCGGAAGCACCCCTGAGACTCGTGGCTGGCGTGGGAGCGGGGAGCACCCCATGGAGCTGGGCCCTCACCTGTGGGGCGGTGCTATCTCCGGGGACTCGGTGTCAGGACGGAATTGATTGCCTGACGCCCAGGTGGAAAGCTGGAAAGTTGCCTGGGGTCAGGGGTGGTGTCAGAGAACAAAGGACATCACACCCACGAACACTCGATGTCACGGCACGTGCTGGACACTCCCCGCCTCCTCCTCCAGAGGTGACACTCCCAGGAGCCACCTGCAGACTCGCACAGGCGGAGCTCGCCACCGGCTCAGCTGCTGGCTCCCGGTGGCTCTGGCTCACCTCCGGCAGGCCACCCTGCTCTGCCGGCTCCCAGTGAAGACGGCGCTTCGTGCACAGGCCACACTGGTCTACGCCCGTCTAGACTCTCAGCTGAGCCCCTGGGGAGGGAACTGGAATCTTCTAGAACTGCACGTGCTGACAGCAGGGTAAGCCAACTCCCCATCATGCCCCGCCAGGCCCCGTCAGGCCTTTCAGTCCAAATTAGATAAAGGCGATCCCAAGGCGGTAGATCAGAGACTCAAACCAGAGGACACGCCCTGAGACCGAATGGATGGACCCCACGAGGCCAGCAGGGAAGGGCTTCCGGATAAAATAAAGACAGGATCCACCGTCTCCTCCACGCACGGGACAGACCCGCACGGAGAACGGGGCGATTACAGCTTTTCAGGTGCAGCATCAAGGCTGTCAGCTCCGCCGTGTAATTTAAGAGCCGGTCTGCAGACAAGCATTCATTCCGGGCTGGGATGGTCACCTCCCCTCCCCTGTGTGTGCCGAGTGAGCGAGGGATGAAAGGAAAGGAGTATAGACTCAGCAGGAGGAGGAGCTGTCTCTGGTCTCTATTAAGAGACTGGAGCGAATTAGATGCTCAATACACAGTTGTAGAACGAACATTTTAAAGTGCAAGGAGAGTCAGGGGTTGAGCGATAAACCAGCAGGGTCACGGTTCCATTCCCAGTCAGGGCACATGCCCAGGGCGTGAGCTTGATCCCCAGTAGGGGGCGTGCAGGAGGCAACAGATCAATGATTCTCTCCCAACACTAATGTTTCTCTCTCTCTCTTCCCCTCGCCCTTCCTCTCTGAAATCAATAAAAATACATTTTAAATAACAAACAATGAAATGAAATGGAAGGAGAGACGCTCAGGAAGGCTCGGTGATGAGCCTCGCTCATCTGTTTTCCTGGAGTTCGGGGTGTGGCAGGCGGGAGCTGATCCTCGCACTCTGAAGGCGAGCAGGAAGACATAAAGGGAGGGCGGGAAGGACGCAGGAAGCGAGACCCGAACCGCCGCCCCTCCCCACTCTTAGGCCAGGCAGAAGCATCCTCTGTGCATCTGACCCAGGAGCGGCCGACGCCCTGGAATGCCGGCAGGGTTTTCAGCAGCCTCAATGATCGCGAAAGGGCCTTCACGGGAGAACGCGAACGTTAGCGTTTTCTCTAAAACACGCTTCTTTGCCTTCTGCTCCCCGGAATCCCAGGCTTCCCACCCACCCCTCCCAACTATGTCAGAAATGCAGCTCGGAGCTCAGAGGTCAGCGCAAGGGGACACATTTCCCATCCACGCTCAGCGCTCATTCCCAGACCCCTATCCCGCCGCCAAAGGGGGACATCAGCTGTGCACCGGGAAATCCAATTTGGCTGACAGCGGGTGGCACACTAATGACAGGGCGTCTGCCTTGACCTTGGGGAAGGCGAAGGCTGTTTAGAGGGGGAGGTGGCTAGGGGGGGCAGTCACAGCGGTTGTTCCTGGGCTTGGTGTGGGTGCGTCAAAAGTTTAGGTCAGCCTGAATACAGCAAACCCACACTCTCTTAACTATGACAAAAAAGCCCAACACTTTCTTGCATCCATGAGCCGATGGTGAAACTGGTTCTGTCCTATGTTGTTTTGCTTCACGTCGCAGACCCCAACGAGGATGGTACAGGAGGACTTACTGCACATAAAATGGTCTAGGTCCTAAGTATCCCGTTCAAGGAATTAACTTCTACATCATGGAACCGGCACCCTGACCCTCCGGAGGCCCCCCGCCCCCGCTCCGTGCTCCCTGCAGGGCAGTTCTGCCCTCCTGCCCCAGGAGAGCCAGGGTCCCGCAGACGACTCCGGAGCGCCCTGCACCAGCTGTGTGCACGTTTAGGTAAGAGGGAAACAGACCCGATTCTGCTTTCAGCCAATGTTTTCAGGTGACTTTAAGACCCGCTCAGGTTCCGTGGGTTTCCTCTGCCTTGTTCTCACAGATCTTCCTGCCCAGCGTAAGTTTTTTTTTTTTTTATCGTCCTCTAACCCCCACCCCCACCCACTGAGGTCAGAGTCCTTAGACTCCATCCTGGGTCCCTACGCTCAGTATTCCCAGCTGCAACATGGGGCGATTCATACTTTTACCAGGAGGCAGCCTGGCTCAGAGGGAAAAGGCGAAGACCCGGAGGCCGGAATAACTGACTTCAGACCCAGCTGGGCAAGTTCATGGTCATCTGTGAAATGAGCGGCGTCTCTCAGGCCTGCCGGGTGGCTGGGTGGGCTGAAGGAAGGGACATTTCTGAAGAGCCACTCGGCTGGACTAGTGCCCATTACTGTTGGCGGGGTCCTTGCTGCTTCTACGTCCGACTGCGTTCTGGTGCCACCGCCTCCCACCTTTCCTTCTGCATAAAGGAGACAGGTGAGCCAAAACCGGTTTGGTTCAGTGGATAGAACGTCAGCCTGAGGACTGAAAGGCCCCAGGTTCGATTCCGGTCAAGGGCATGTACCTTGGTTGTGGGCACATTCCCAGTAGGAGGTGTGCAAGAGGCAGCTGATCCATGATTCTCTCTCATCGATGTTTCTCTCTATCCCTCTCTCTTCCCTCTCTGAAAAAATCAATAAAATATATTTTTAAAAAATAAAATAAAATAAAATAAAGGAGACAGGTGAGGTGACCTAAGGCACTTGGTAAGTTGACAGGTAGATGTAGGAAGCAGTTATAGGGTTAAGCCTCGGACTGACCTGCTGGCAAAGTCGCAAACAAATCCCAGCTTGGAGGGCACAGCCCTCTAAGCATAATTACGCTTTGATCTTGTGACAGCTCACTAAATCCTTCCTGGGTAGCTAATGGGCTGTGGGAGGGGCAGCAAGTGCTGCCAAAACAAGTGAGACTTACAAGAACATTGTAAATCACTTTGTTTACCCTTGACCATAAAATAAACCATCATGGAGGAGTCTGGATCTGTTCTGTGGCCTTAGCCCAGCACAGAAGATCCACCTAGACCCAACTCTTTCTCTTTGTCTGTCTTTTCTCCATCCTTTGCCGCCCCTCCCTCAGGCTCGCCGAACCCTTGGCTGTACTGGCGCGGCACAAGTAGACAAATCTCCCCTCCTCCCCCTTCCGTGATCTGTTCGCCATTGATACCCCCATCCAAGGACTTGAGTTGGGTCACATTGTGCACTTCAACGTGCCCCCCTCCCCAAAGAATCCCTCCACGCTCCCCAGGCTGGGCCCCCCCGACAGGCCGGCCGAGGCCACTCACCGATTCCATAGTGTGTCTCTCGAAAAACTGGAGAGCCGGCAGGCTGACGATCTCATGTCTCAGGTGTCACACGCACCAGAAGACGACCTGCATGGGGCAGGGAGAAAGGGACAAGCGTCAGGCAGGGGCCTGGGCAGAGCAGTGTCTCGGGGGTATTCTCACCGCCGGGGGGCTGGCCAGCAGGTGCAGGGACACAGCCGGGAGGCCACTGCCGTCGCAGGGAGCCACGCTCGGGCTGACACCGCCATGGCTCAGGGTGGGCGAAGGCTCGGGAGCCGTCATCTTGCGTTCTATTTCTAGCTCTCCAAGGCAGAGCAATTTACACGTCATTCACTTCCCGAGGCCTAGGCTCCTCAACAAGGGATGGAAGGGTGCTGACCAGGTGCGACAGACAGACAGACAGACAGACAGACAGCTGTGTGCCCACAGGAGACAGAGGTGTCCCCCCAGCGAAGAAGGAGATAGAGATGAAGATCCATATTTCAGCCCCTCCACACCCGAGAGAGGGTTTTAATTAATGCGTGCATATCGCAGCTTAATTAACCGCTGAGCGTGCAGAGTTCGGGAAGCCTGGGATGGAAGGTGTTACATAAGGGAACCGCTTCCGATGGATTCACGGGATGGATGGGAAGTCGAGGCGGGGCGGTGGGAACCAGATGAGCGAAGGGATCTGTGGAGTCCCTCCTCCAGGGATCCCCACCTCAGATCCTGGGCTCTTCCATCTGGGTCCAGACACAGGGACACCGTCATCTCCATGACCCCTGTATCTAATCCATCCCCAAGCTCTGTCTGCCTTATTCCCTAAGGATCTCTCAGCCCTTCTCCCTCTCTGTCTCCACTGGCACAGCCCTGGACCAAGCCACCCTCTCTCCATCCCTCTCGGTTGGGCCGCTCCAGCTGCCTAATGGGTCCTCCCGCATCATCCTTTCTTCTTCAGGAAGCTGGTCCCCCACACGGAAGCGAGATTAACTCTTTTCTTTTTATATGTTTTATTATGGAGATGTTTGTAAACACAACAATAGAGAAGCGTTCCGAGAACCCCATGTATCCACCACGTAGCCCCAATCTCCATCAACCCAACTTCATCTGTACCCTAAAAAAATCCAGCCATCTTTTTATTTTAGTCATAGATAGTACAGCATGTATGGCTAAGATAAGGCCTTTTAGAAAATACCACTGGTATAACTGCAATACCAGTGAATATCTAAAAAGGTAACTCCTCAATTCACCAGATGCTCAATGTTCCAATTTCTAATAGTCTCATGGATGTTAAAAATTTTAACAACTGTTTTTAAAAATCCAGATCCAGATGAGGTTCACACCTTAGGACTGGACGAGAAGCAGAAGGAGAAATTTAAAACACAAGTGTGACTGTCATTCCCCACCTTCCCACCCCCAGCCTCACATTTCCCAGAGGCTCCTTAGAGCTTTAGGATAAAAGCCTGTCACTGAACAAGGGCTGACTCCTGCCCACATGCCTGGCTTCCGCTTGTCCACCCGGGCTCTCTGCTGCAGACCCAGGACCTTCTTCCAGATCCCGGAACCGGCCACGGCTCCTCTGCCCCAGGTCCTTTGCACATGCCCTCTCCTTTCCCCCGGAAGGCTCCTCATGCACCCCCTTTCCCCAGTGAGCTCCCGTACGTCCTTAAGTCTGACTTCCATCGCCCGGCACCCTCCACAACATTAATAACTACGCGTCAGTTCAATGATTGAACCACTCCTTTCAAACTCAGATGCTGATGGCGATTGACTGAAATCTTCCATTGAAGTGCGAATCGCGTATTTACGTTAGTTGGGGAAAACGGACGGTCTCATCCCTGAGTTCCTACGGAAGAGGGATGGACTCGGGAGAGCCAGGCGATCTTGAGAAGGACGGACAACGTTGGAGGACTCACTCGTCCCAATTTCCAAACTGACTGCGAAGCCGAGTAAGCAGCACAGCGTGCTCCCCATAGGAATCGCAGACTGTGATCATCCCGTGACAGTCCCCTCCTAGGCAAGACGTACCCAGCACACGGCTACGGAAAGTAAGGCCTGGTTACTGGAAACAGTCCCAGCCAACCCCTGCCACTTACGCCTCTTGCTTTTCCTGCTTCACCCACGCGCACAAACCGAGACACGTACAGAGAGACTGGACCACTCTGCTCTCTCTTCACTCCATCCCCTCTGACATAGACTTGGCAGTATCCGCACTACAGTGGGTAGTGGTGACTTCTCTGTCCCCCTAGATTCCAGACAGGACCACTGACTTGCTTAGCCAGTGGAAGGTGGAGGTGACAATGTGTGGGTCCCAGGTCTCTCCCATCGCTCTCCTAGGATGGGCCATGGCGGGAGTATGTCTCCCAAGCCCCGCAGGTTACAGAGTTTGTTACCTGGCAGAAATAGACTACTATACACGGGCACAGGAATTGATGAGCACCAGTGAGGGTCACCACGGGCTGGAAGAAATGGAAGCCTGGCACACACAGAGCACAGGTGTGATGCCCTCACAGCAATCCTGCAAGGCAGGCGCTGGGCCAGCTTTACAGGTGAGGAAATTGAGGCCCTACTGTGTCCAGGACAGTGTGTGACAGTAGTGGGACCCAACCCAGGCTGTCTAATCAGAAAGTCCCAGCCAGGCTCTCCCTCTATGAAAGGGTCTTACGGACCCTCAGACACAGCTGTCCCCAGGAGTCCCTGGTCCACTCCCCACCCCCACCCCGCAGCCCTTGTTCCCTGAGAGGCTCCCAGGACCAAGTGCAGAGGCCACGGGGCTTAACTGAAGCCGGATGGATGCCCTGGGTTCCAATCCAGCTCTGCCCGGAGCAGAGCTGTGGCCTGGGCGATGAGCCTCTTGGGCTCTCAGGTCCTGTGGGGTGTGAAACCCGGCTGCGAACCTTAGCCCGCCTGCGTCACCAGCCTGGCGTGACCCCCCAGAGAGACGGTGTGTGAAAGAGCCGTGTGAGCGGCGACACCACCGTCAGCTCACACCTGCTCCGAGACCGAAGACACTCTAATTAGATCAGCGTCCACGTATACGTCAGGATCGCACCCCGCTGCTCTGGGACCCATTTACACTTTGAGACTAATCCCCCCCCCCCAAAGAGATGATTTATTTCCAGTTGAGCAATCCAGGCCCATCACAAAGAATAGTAAGGCACGGAGCTAAGATATTTGACTATTTGAACACTTAGACATAAATACTGTTAGGATTTTAAGGTTATTTCCTTTCTGGGACTTTGTCAGGGTGAAATACATAATGCATTTCACTTAAAATGATTTTCATAGAACCAGGGAACTACCGGTAACTGAAGAAAATCCATTGCGTCGTTCATTCATTCATTCATTCATTCATGACTTGTACCAATCCTATGGCAGGGACTCCTCTAGATCCCTGAAGAAGGACCAATCACAAAAGTATGTTCAGGATCAAAAGGAAATAACAGCCGTCCGCTCACTGCCTTTTCAACTCAGCAAATAGGGAGCACCTACTGTATGCTGGGCACTTGCTAACAATGCCAACAGAAGTCACTACGACGGCACCAACAGCTTTCTTGCTAGACCCTATCGATGGCTTTTTGTCTCATTATTAGAAGTCAGCCCTCAGCACAAAGGCCCCTGGTGAGACCTCAGATCCGGGCTCACTGGTGCGTTAATTGTCCTTTCCTGCTTCCCTTCCCACGTCACAAAGGCTGGGATAACTAAGTCCTCACCTCCTCCAGTCCCAGGAAGCATTAGCGGGGAAGGGGAGGGGGTGCGGGGGCGGGGGGGGGGGGAGGCAGGTAAAGCACGGGACAAAATGACGCTTCCCCGGAGCCGATGGATAAATGGCACAAGGACTGATGGTATTAACATCCCGTTCAACCCGCACCACCACCCCACGGGAGGCTGAAATGCAGGTGTTTGTGAAGTGATTTGTCCGAGGCCACGCCCGTTCCTCTCAGGAGCCGGGGCGCAATCCCACCTGGGACCCTCTGCGAGTGGAGAACACACCTGAGAATTGTGCCACCCGGTGGGGGCGGGTAAGGAGGGGGAAAGGAAGCCGGGGCATTTATGCTCCGATGCCTGGGCATGGCCAGGGGAGGGGCTCAAACCGATTCCAAAAGCCGGCCTGCAACACAGGCCCTGTCTGTGCCTCCCGGGCCGGGCTCCTGTCACAGGCGGGGAACACACAGCGTCCCTAAGTAAAGGCTCAATACATGCATCGGTGAGGGTGTGATCCTAAGCCCTGCAGTCTCCTCTGCACCCTCTCGTTTCCCACTGCCACCGGCGTCGAGAGATTGAAGATATGTACCTCCCGGAGCGAACCAGAATTCATCCCCGCCAAGCGCCGCCATGTGCTTTATCTGGCCCCCTCGCTACCCCCCCCCCCCCCCCCGCCTCTCCTCCGTGGCCTTCGGAGCGGCAGTCAGGACAGCGCGGCCTGCGTGCCAGCAGAAATGAGAGACATACATCATCTGGTGCGCAAACCCGTCTTCGCTGCCAAGTCCCCAAATAGGTGCTGAGTTTTGCAGGGCAGACGTGACTCCGCGGATGTTGGGGCTGGCATCCTCCCGCAGAGGATGTCAGGGGCGCCTGAGTCACCGGCAGCTGGCTCCGGCTCGGGCCGCTTCTCTTTCCCCACAACATCTCGGCCCGCTGCCTTCCTATTTACCGATGTGATTTCCCCCGCCCCATGGAAACGGCATTTAGAAGGCGGCCTGACGCACATGTACGCCCGTCTCCCTCTTGTCTGTCCGCGGCCCGCCTTGTCTAGCCCCGCCCCCTTGAAATTCCCTTCCTTCCAGAAAGCTCTCTCCAACTCCACAGCAACAATCCATCCACTTCTGATTGCATACTCCAGTGGTCGGCAAACTGCGGCTCTCGAGCCACAACGCGACTCTCTGGCCCCTGGAGTGTGGCTCTCCCACAAAATACAATACCACGGCCTGGGCGGTTCTCTGTTGAAGAAGTGGCGTTAGAAAGAAGTTTAAGTTTTAAAAATGTGGCTCTCCAAAGAAATTTCAATCGCTGTACTTTGATATTTGGCTCTGTGGACTGATGAGTTTGCCGACTGCTGTCCTACTCTATTAAGAATGGCAACAATCACAACAGGGGCCCCTTATTGG